CAAAGATTAATGAGTGATTTAAAAAGCTAATTCGGCCAATCCTGACTTACTTTATTTAATATCTGCACAACATGTAGATAGTGCAGCCTTTTCTGTTTGTACCTGTTGGTGGATTAACATATCAAATAAAGCCATAAAATACCTAACAGGTAGTTCTTGACTTACAATCATTTGTTTAGTTACCATTCAAAGTTACAACGGCACTAGAATAGAATAGAATAGAATAGAATAGAATAGAATAGAATAGAATAGAATAGAATAGAATAGAATATGGAATGGAATGGAATGGAATAGAATACTTTTATTGGCCAAGTGTGATTGGACACACAAGGAATTTGTCATGATGTAAATACTCTCAGTATACATAAAGAAAAGATACATTTGTCAAGAATCATAACATACAACACTTAATGATAGTCATAGGGTACAATCAACAATCAAATCATACTAGGAAACAGTCAATATAAATCGTAAGGATACAAGCGACAAAGTTACAGTCATACAGTCACAAGCGGGAGGGGATGGGTGATAAGGAGTGATGAGAAGATTAACGGTAATAGTAGTGTAGACTTTGTAATAGTTGAACAGTGTTGAGGGAATTATTTGTTTAGCGGAGTGATGGCTTTCGGGGGAAAACTGTTCTTGTGTCTAGTTGTTCTGGTGTGCAGTGCTCTATAGCATCGTTTTGAGGGAAGGAGTTGAAACAGTTTATGTCTGGGATGTGAGGGGTCTGTAAATATTTTCACAGCCCTCTTTTTGACTCGTGCAGAATTCAGGTCCTCGATTGAAGGCAGGTGGATAATCATTGTTTTTTCTGCAGTCCTAATTATCCTCTGAAGTCTGTGTCTGTCCTGTCACTAAACATAAGACTTATGATCTTCTTTCACATTTAGGACCGTTGCAATATCCCTGTGGTCATGTGATCAAAATTCAGACGCTTGGCAACTGGCATGTATTTATGACAGGTGCAGTGTCCTGGGATCATGTGGTCACTTTTGCGACCTTCTGACAAGCAAAGTCAATGGGGAAGCCAGATTCACTTAATAACCATGTTATTAATTTAACAACTATGGTGATTCCCTTAACTTCCGTGGCAGGAAAGATTGTAAAATGGGACAAAACTCATTTAACAACTATCTTGCTTAGTAATAGACATTTGGGCTCAGTTAAGTTAAGGGCTACCTGTATTTGGTTTTAGCTTGATATGCATCTGCGCAAACAGAGTAAATTAAACCTTCCTGTAGGCCACATCTGAAGCTGTGGTTTGTTATTGGCTTGTTACCCTAGTATGACAGATTAACAAAAATGCATAATTTGTTTGCGGATTCTTGTCTTATTCCTAGTTTGATTTTGTGCATTGTCCAGACTTGAAACCAATCCAGTATTGTGGGTATTGTGCAGTTGTATGAACCTATGAATCCATATTCTTTATATTGAAACAATCAGTTCAGAATCATTATAATCATATTGTTTATAATTTTTCTTAAGGTGAATGACAGTATGAGGATACGACTGAGAAATAAGCATTTTAGTTTCTTTTTTCCTTTCTTTTTTCTATGTTCCTACTAGGTTGTGCATGGCCTCGTTTGATGGAGAAACATCACATTGAACAGCCGTTTTGCCTCATTCTCTTCATTTTGCTGTAATAATGATATCACTTCATAATAAATAACCTTGTGAATTGTTCATTTTATTTTTAGTTATTGTCTTGGCAAAAAATAGATTGATTCAGCTATTTTTTCTCTTTAAGGAGGAGAAGGCACTTTTGGGTTTTAGGGCTTTTTTCTATTTTTACAGTTTTAAATAGTCCAAATGGATTTTAGTGCATATTTTGCTCTTGTTTCTTGTTGAATTGTTCTATCAGTGTTTAGTAATTAGCTGCTCAATTTCAACAACATAGTTCATAGGAGGAAAAGCTTCATGAAACTCAAAAATTAAGGATCAGATACAGAATTACTTCCTGGACTGTAGACATAGATACCAATAAAAGAGAATATTTATAGCTCAAGATTGAACTGTGAGATCTTTGATGCTCTCTGAGCACTGATGTTTTCTTGCAGACATTTTGTTATTCAATTGCAAAAAAGCAAACCAAACCAAACCAGCTAAGCTCAGAGAGCACCAAGGACCCCTCCTCAATAGAAATAAATATAAGAAGTAGAAATTCCAAACTAGGCATTGCAGTTCATTAGAAACTCACATGTTGTCTTAGATCAGTAGTCTGGAAGTACCTTTTCCAATGAAAACTATTTATTAAAATGCATAAGCTTTTACAACTCATGAAAGCTCACACCTTTTTAATAAAATTAGTTAGCTGGAAAAGGTGCTATCAGTCGCCTGTTTTTTGCCCCATAGACAGCTTTTCTACAAGCTTCATAATTTACCAACTTTTCTGTCATTGCAAGTAAAAGCATTGAATAAGCTTAGCAAATACATTGCCTCTTTAGAAAGCTGCAAGGCAGCATGTTCTGGACAAGCTACAACAGGGAAATCAAACTCAAGTTCTGTGGGCCGAATTTGGCCCACGGGATGCTTAGATCTTGCCCTGGGGGGCTGCCCTGGAAACAGCAAAGGACCAGCCTGTGGTGCCTCTGCCAGTGAAAACAGCTCTGTTTTCACAGGCAGAGGGTTACAGGAGGCCATTGCAACAGAAAATGGAGCTTACGAGCTGTTTTCGCTAGCAGAGTTCTCAGGCCACTACAGGTGCCCCCCGACATGAATGATGTCAGGCTGGCCACACACACCCTGGCCACCCCATCCCCCCCAGGTCAAACACAACCCAATTGCAGCCTTCAATGAAATCGAGTTTGACATCCCTGAGCTACAAAATCCCTGTTGATAAAGAAGTTTAAAAGCACTTCATGTTTGTGGGCTTAAGTCTATCTCAGATGTTTCACTTGAGATCTTCACATGCTGCTGCTGGTGCATCTTGGCCATGGATTGGGAAAGTATTAACTAAAAATTAGGTGGTTATTCGATTGTCCCACGTAATCCAGAAAATGGAACGCTCGTCTGTCATGAGCAGTGACACAATATGTGATTTGAGCTTGTTTGGAGGAGAGCTGAAGCACAGCTGTGTGATTCTGAGAGACGCTGGGCTGAGCTGTGGTCTCCTTGCATCCTTGGGGCCAATCTCTGCTGCTCTGCCAGTGTTGCTTGGTTACACTGGCAGCATTTAGAGCTCCAGGTAACAAAAATTATCTCAAGGGTGATTGGGGGGGTGGAGGAAGGAAACACAGTTGCACCTGCCACTTTCTGTGCCAAGCTGCATTAGTTGTGATCAACATGAAGGGTAGGGAAAAGACAGTCTGTTTCCTAACTTCTGTGGCAAAAGGATTCTGTCTTCCTCAAAAAGGTCTTAGAAGGTCATAGAACTTAGGAAAAAAATTATTTAGATCGCTTTCATAAACATACTAAACGTTAAGCCCTTGCAACCAATGTATTTGGTAAGGTCACAAATATTCTAAAACCAAAAGGAAAAAAAAAGTATTATGGTAGAAAGATGATGGTTTGGTTAACATAGCAATGGCTGGATTCCCCACAGCATGCTGATTCATAAACTGTCACATGGAAGGTTTGGTTTAATCTAACATGTTATGTGAGCCACCTTAAAGGAGAAGGGTTGAATGACAGCGGAGGTTTATATAAACCTATAAAATTTCTGTGATGAGTCTCATGTAGAAAAAGTGATCCCCCCCACCTTAGTTGGAGACGTTATGATGGATAAAGTGCATAATTCATACTGCAAGATGTGATGGCCACTTACACCAGATGACAGGTATGTTACATTTATGTGGCTAGAGACAACACTCCTTTTTAAAAAATAAAGAATGTGAATGAATCTCCAGGAGCTGTGGATTTAGGTCATGGTGACATTTGAAGGGGGTTCGTTGGGAACATTTTGGTCATTTTGGGAAATGAAGAGTTTAGGTAACTTACAAGGGGGAAATAAGTACATTAAATTTTGCTTAGTTTTAAGCCACCCATTTTGTAAGTTAATATCTCCTTTAGAAAGGAAACCCAGGATCAATTTGGGAGAGGTGTTTAAAAGAGAAAAATGGATGCAGTGCATTTTGTCATCTCTTTGTCTATAATAGCCAAAAAAAAAAATTTCAAATGGAGAGGAAATAAGAAGGCCTTTGGTCAAAGGAAATGTCTGAATTCACTTTCTGCAGGGTTTTTTTTCAGAGCTCTTCATAAACTGTGCAGCAGACAATGGTGAAGCAAATGTGTTCACGAGACTGTCAGTATTTACATTATGATTGTAAGCTCTTGGGCATTTGTCTTTTCCTTGCTTATGTAGCTATGTAAATGGTATGAACTTCAGTAATATTAGAATAATAACATTATTTAACCGAGTATATGGATTACTGTTGTAGGGCATGTTAAATTTTTTAGCTTTCAATTTCCAAACATTAGGGGTGTTCAAAAGTCATGATCTTCCTTGGAGATTTTAAATATATTTTGGTTACGGTAATATAATTTAGATGTGCTTGATAAGTAACTACATAAATATCATAACTTTTTAACATTTTGTTTGTTTCATTTGTGCCAGGCACAATTCTATTTATTGACTGATTACCTACATGTACATGATGCTTATTTATACAAAAGAATCTTACAATGTACAGAGCTTAAAACAGCCATAAAAATAATAGACCATAACAACAGAATCAGTTGCTGATCTAAATGAAATCTTGTCTGATTGCAAAAAATGACTGTATTCACCAGTTCCTGAAAGGCAAAAGGATAGGCGCCAGAGTGAGGGCGCCCTGTAGGGGCATCCAGAGTGAGGGCGGGTGGTACCCATGGGAATGTCTTGCAATGCCTTTCTTCTCTATTCTCTTGAACTATGTTTTAGACATAAGGATGGAGCAGCTTGGTGACATTTACAAATATGTTCATTCTGAAGGCCAGAGTAACAGAAAAAGCCAAAATGTATGTATATGGATGTATGTGCATTTCTATCCAAGTCATGAATTTCAGTATTTCCCTTCTAGAAACCAAGGAGGAGCTGGAGGAATTGATGTCTGATATCAAGAAGACAGCCAACAAAGTGCGCTCCAAGCTAAAGAGTTGAGTATCTGCTGTAGGTGTAAGGAGAGAGATGGCCACTCCTTGCATGACTGTAACTGGAATCTTTTGGGGGCTTCCAAGTCTCTCCCTGATTTGACATAATGGATAATGAGGTGGTGCATGCTTGAAGAGGCATCTGCTGTGCTTGGAGCTGCTTACAGAGACATTTCACCTGAAGGTTACTGCCTTAGTGGGAAGAAGTACCAGGGTCTGAAGGAGAAACTAGAGAAGACATGGAAAGTAAAGGCTAATGTGATGGTGATGGTGGTGGTGATAGGGACTTGATCACATTCGGGACTGTGACACCTAAGCTGGGAGGGTGGCTCCAACAGATCCCAGGGACAACAACAAAGTTGTCTCTCCAGAAGAGTGCAATGCTAGGAACAGCTAAGATACTGCACAGAATCCTCAAACTTCCAGGCCTCTGGTAGAGGACCCACAATTGAGGAAGGCACAGATCATCCATAAGTGTAAGAAGGGAATATGTACCTCTTAAATAGATTAATTTGCCTCCTCGATAGGCATCACAGGCTCACTTCCCAAAACAAGTAGTAATTGCTCAACAGTTGGTGAAGTCTCAAGTAGGAGCTTACTAAATGATTGTGAATTCCTTGTTCTTTGCATAGCCAATCTATTCGAGAGCTTGACTGTTAGAGAATTGAAAGCTCTAGCATACATTCTTTGCTTGTATCACAGCCACATGCATTTTGTTGTATTTGTACAAGTGATCCATGATCCAGGATGCTAAAGGGTCCCTTTTGAAAAAAAAAATTCACTGTGAAGCTTCTAATCTTTTCATGAAACTTTTTAAAGCACTTTCCATTATGTTGGAGAAATTTTTTGAATTGAGCTGATTGCAAGGAAGCTCCCTTTCCTAGCTAGCAAAGCTTGGAAAATATAAATAAAAAAAAAACTCAGTAATGTATGTGAATATTAGGGTTCATCTTTGCTGGCCCAGATTTTGATTTTTTTAAAACAAACAAACAAGCAAAGCACTACAACTCTCAAATGAAGTCTTAAAACTTGCCACGTGCAAGTTTTAAAAATGGGTCATTTATAGTTGGTTCCTTCTCTTCTGGAGAGTTATTTTTAGTCCCATCTGAAATGGATGTTCAGCAGGCAGAGAAGGAGAGACAGAGACTGAGACCATCTGTTTACCCTGTAATGTGCTTTTTCTTCCCTCTCTGAAAATAGGTTCTACCTTTCTGCTTTTTCTTAGGTATTGAACAGAGTATTGAACAAGAGGAAGGGCTGAACAGGTCATCAGCAGACTTGAGAATAAGGAAAACACAGGTGGGTCCATGTCTAAAAAGCCACATTGCCTATCAATTCAGAAGTGTTCATGTACAGAATAACCAGGGTGATCAAATGGTAGATTACTGTTAAAAAGTCTTATAGCTTTTGAAAATGATTCCTCCTCTTTCTCGATATCTACAACAGATGTATGATCTTTATGTTGGCTAGAATGACACAATGTTTGTAGTGATGCCCAAAACTTAGAGCTGTTGGGAAACAAGTGTGTTTGACATTCTCCTCCCTACCATTTGTAAATGGGCTAAAGGAGCTTTTCATTGCAAGGAACAAAGTCAAATCCAGAGGTTGTCCAAACCTGATTTACATCATCATTTGACCTTTCTGAAACCAAGCAGATTGATGATGCTTTGTGGAAGATAAATAAGGAAATTACAGGGGACATCATTGCCTGTTCCGTAATCCTATGAATACCCCAAATGCAGTGTTGATGACACAGTGAAATATGAGCTATTTGAATGTCTCTCTCTCTTCCATCTATTCCAAGAATATAAAAAAATATACCAGGTGGGTCTTCATGTAGATTAACATTTAACTCTTTTTGACTAGACACGTGGCTTCAAGAAGCCTATAAACAGGCAACAAAGTTGTTTATTTGATAATATATATTTATTTGATATAAGGAATACATGAAATTGATATAAGAAATACATTCTCAGCTAGCAGTGATTGGTAGCATCTCATTTCTCACAGGTTTGTTGCATCCTCTTTTCAAGCCATTAGCCACGCTCTCTTCTTAAATAAATTCCATGGGTTCAACATAGTATGAAAGAGCATTTTCTTTGTAAATTTATAAATGGAGGAGAATGGGATTTTCACAGAAGCCAGCAATGCACATATTTTTCAGAAATATTCTTTTGTAACTTTGCTCCCCCCACTCCAGCATTCTACCTTATCACGGAAGTTTGTGGAGGTGATGTCAGAATATAATACAACCCAGACTGATTACCGGGAGCGCTGTAAAGGAAGAATCCAAAGACAACTGGAAATCAGTGAGTGTTTTCCTTATTAGCCCCTTTTCACTGAGATTACCATCTGTTTGTTCATCCATTTCATCCATTGTATGAAAATTGTAATGGTGCAATCCTCTGCTTTTATTGTTTGCCTATTTTCACAATTCATTTTTACTGTGATACCAGTATTTTCCTTGTCATCTGGTTGTTGTTGAAGCATTCAGAACTATTATATATATAGTTAAAAGCTTCCTGTTCAAGTTGAGAAAGAACATCTATTCAATTTATATTCTCCCATTTTCCACCAAATGTTCTGTGAAGGCAGATCAATGAAATCCATTTCTGTTCTTTAAAGCAATGTTCACATTTCTAATTTCTTCTTAGTATTTCTTTTATAATAAAAAAGCCTATTTTGTTATAAAAGAAAGATCCATGAATAATAATTAGACACAGATTCCCATAGCCAGAGACTAAGTTAACTATGATGCAGTTCATACTCACATAGGACAATGTAGTGGATTTTGAGCTATGTTAATGATATTCCGTTTTTTACTTTAACCATTGGCCTGAAGGAAGGTATTATTGGAGTCTTGTCCTGGGTTCTAAGTGGGATAAAGCAAACTGAAGATGAACTTAACCAAACTGGAATTGCTCTTTGCTTATCAAAGGTTTTTTTTGTCAGCTCAACAGAGCCGCGGTGGTGCAATGGTTAGATAGCAATGCTGCAGGCTACTTCTGCTGCTTGCTGCCTGGCTGCAATTTGGCAGTTCAGATCTCACCAAACACAAGGTTGACTCAGCCTTCCATCCTCTGAGGTTGGTAAAATGAGGACCCAGATTGTTGGGGGCAATATGCTGACTCTTAAACAGCTTAGAGAGGCTGTTTAAAAGCATTGTGAAGCGGTATATAAACTTAAGTGCTATTGCTATTGCTATCTCTCCAATGAATGATACTATTCCTAAGAGAACTGGTCTGTGACTTTAGAGTCCTCTTGGAGTCACAGCTACTGCTAGTTACAAAGTTGGAGGGCATGGCCAGTTCTGACATTACCTGTAGTGAGAAGACCCAGGTCTGGTTTCAATGTGTATCACCATTCCTCTATATAAGGCTGCTTTGAAAATGAATCAGCCTTTGTGATAATTGGTTGATTTTTTTTGCTATTATATTTTTGTTGTTTGGAGTTATTACCGTGGGCATTTTAATTTCCTTCTAATGTGTTTGTTTCCAGGAATCTGGCAAAATTGGGCAACATATGACTTAATAAATAAAATGCTGGGTGTGATTGGGAAATTTAGATAAGTCTTTTTCAACCTGTGCAATTTTAAGATGTATGGACTTCAATTTCCAGAATTCCTCAACCAGCATGCTAAATTGGAAACCTGATTTAGACCATACAAATCACAAGTGCTCGTCACCATTTGTCAGCTTCCACTAGGGATCCTTGGGGTACCTGGCTGGCCCAGTTGCAGACTGGAGCAAGCAAAGTTCCTTTCCTATTGACCACAAACAAGCCAGGCACTCTTGTGTGAGAGATGAGAGCTGGATAAGAGGCTATGAAGTGGCCCCCTGCCTCTTCTGTCTGTAGGCTGTCACTGGCAAAATGTATCCAACTGCAGAAGAACGTGTGGTGCCTTGAGGTCTGCTCTGTCCAGGCGGCTTTTGCAACATAAAAGGAGGAGAGAGTAGATAAATATCAAAAAGCGGGAGGGGCACCAGCGTGTATTGGAAAAAATAGAAGTCTAGGAATTAGAAAAAAGCTCCTTGCAGACATAGTGAGTAAAGGGAGGATTGTGTAATGCCCATGCTTTCATCATTATTTTTTTATTCATTTTTATTTATTTGATTTGTCAATCGCTTACAAGATAATAGGTATAAGTATAGACATAGTTATGAATACATGAAATGGATTTCTTCCCCAAACCCCAAAAACTTTAGACTGTCTACTATTGACCTCACCCCATTCCTAAGAGGCCTGTTTTTTATTTTTCTTATAAGTATTTATCTCATGTATTAAAAACTATATTTATTCTTATACCTGTATCTTGTAAGTGATTGACAAATCAAATCAAATGTAAATGTAAATACATATAAGAAAAATACAAAGAAACAATAGGACAGGAATGGTAGGCACGTTGGTGTGCTTATGCACGCCCCCTACAGACCTCTTAGGAAAGGAGTGAGGTCAATAATAGACAGTCTAAGGTTAAAGTTTTTGGGGTTTGGGGAAGAAACCACAGAGTCAGGTAGAGTATTCCAGACATTGACCACTCTGTTGCTGAAGTCGTATTTCCTGCAATCAAGTTTGGTGCGGTTAACTTTGAGTTTGTATCTATTGTGTGCTCTTATATTGTTATGGTTGAAGCTGAAGTGTTCATTGACAGGTAGGGCATTGCAATGTATGATTTAATATACTATATTTAGATTGTACCAAGGAAGGATGGGGAACAAGGAAATTTGTGTCACTAGGTCACATTAGGGCCTGGCTTTTATTTTAAAAAATGAAATTTGAAATTTTGATTCTATATGCACTGTCACTTTCTGCTGAGGGATATGCACTGTCTAAATCTTGCTGATTGCTTTTGATCAATTTTACAGTATGTCTGAGCAGTCCGTGTTAAGTGGGCTAAGGTTCATATTGATACATTTGTGTGGGCTGTTGAACTTAGTTCTGGGTTCTCTGCTGAGGTGTTGGTGAAGTTGGAAAGGATAACCGAGGCAGGTTATGAGTATCCTCTGAAAGGATCTGAGGAAGAAATATGGACTTTTGAACTATTGGATGTTGGGAAGGAAAGATAGATTCTATTGTTCAACCATTAACTTCTAATTATCATTCGCAGCTGGCAGGACCACCACCAGTGAGGAACTGGAGGACATGCTGGAGAGTGGGAATCCAGCTATATTCTCCTCTGGGGTAAGCAGACTCTCCCTTTGCCCTGGGATTTGGCCAATCTTTTCTTTGTCCACACTGCTGAGAGTGGACCCAAAGGTGCCATTTCAAAAGGCAACTGGACATCCTCACGATTCAAGAAAGAAGAGCAGTGGCATCCCTAAGAAGAGACCCAAACATCACCATCTTGCTGGCTGATAAAGGAAGATGCACAATTATCCTGAAGACAGATGACTAAAAGCTAACATGGACACTCTTCTGAAGGGCACTGCTACATATGAGACTCCGAAGAGAGATCCTACCAGCACTTATAAGAAAATGGTCATTGGTTTCCTGTGACAACTATTGAAGGGCAAGGCTATTGACAAGCCACAATACTACTGCCTTTACCCTAGGAAAGCTACTCCATGCACATATGGACTCCCCAAAATCCACAAACTCCTCTCAGACCAGTTGTCAGCAGCATCAACTCCATCACCTAAAAACGAAGTCCAGTTGCCTTTTGAAAAAGTACCTGTGGAAAAACTGTGACCTGGATGACTGAGGCTCTCCATAGACTCATTCTGAGAGTAGAGTCTAGCAGTGCCATCTTTGAGTCCTTACAATAGCAAAAGCACTTATATACCACTCCATAATGCAGAGGTCTCCAAACTTGGCAACTTTAAGACTTGTGGACTTCATCCATGCCAGAATTCTCCAGCCAGCATAGAATTCTGGGAGGTGAAGTCCATAAGTCTTGAAAGTTACCAAGTTTGGGGACCCCTGCCATAATGCTTTATAACAGTGGTCCGTAACCTTTCCAGCTCAGTGGACAAGTGGAGGTGGAGTGGGGGAGAGGGAATGGTTTTTGACATATATGCCACTTTTCACAAATTCAACTTTGTGCACTCACCCACCACTTCTGCAACCCATTTCTGAATGGGCTGTGGCCTGGCACTGGGCCATGGACCAGGAGTTGGCAACCCCTGCTCTATAGCACTCTCTGAGCAGTTTACAATGTCCACATATTGCCGCCAGCAATCTGGATCCTCATTTTACCGGCCTCAGAAGGATGGAAGACTGAATCAACCTCGAGCCCCGTCAAGATCAAGCTCCAGATTGTGGGCAGAGTTAGCCTGCAATACTGCATTCTAACCACTGCACCACCACCAGGGCTGAGCTGTGTTGCCAGAAATGAGTGTCAGATTGTTGAAAGTGAAGTAGGATCATGAATAAGAGTAAAAGTTCTCCTTCCACTGGCATGGAACCATAGTAAAGAACCACAATTATTTACTTTGACGTTTGATTTTGCAATATAGGTTCTACTATACCACGAAATCAACAATGGCTGATGGTCAAAGACTTCTGGGATATTATTTTTCCACTGCCTATGCTTAGCAATATTTCATGTTTATTCCACCTTTTTTCTATGGAACTCAGCATGTTTAGACATCCAAGACAATCTCCTGATATGTTTTTCCGGATTATGTACAGTAACCATTTAGTCATTTATGTTCTGTAGATGTAGCATGCATTCTTATGTCTATACTTTAAAATAAATATATATGTTGGATGAATTAGCATGCAGTCCTAAACCAGGATTTTTTAAAACACTTTTTGAACAAGTTATAGATGCTAATACCTTCCATATTTTATTTGTTTGTAATTCTTTCAGTGACTTTAGGTGGGTCGTGAAAGTATATGTATATCACTCAAAGTCATTGATTGTGAAGTGGTTGGTTATATAAATATGAAGAATCATTAGGTATGAAAATATGAAAAACATTCATTATATGACTTATTGTTATATGTTATTTTAGCCTGTTTGGTTAGTCTAAGTAGCAAATTCATCAATGATAATGCATGCACAATTTATTGTTGTTAATGGTATAGATAATTCTGCAGTTTCATTTTTTTCTCTTCTGAAATTTTTCTTCATGGAAGTGTAAGAACAGCAGTGATATTCGGTATCTCTTTGATTCTTCAGATGTATGCTCTCATTGCCTACCAACATATGAATCCATGTGTGCTAGAAGCTCTTTCCATTAGAAAGCCATAATTTTTTAGGAAGTCAGTTTTCATCAATTTATAAACTTGTTCTAGCCAGCCACGGAAAATCAGGAGAATGTGGTCTTCAGAAATATCTACCCAGGATGGAAAGTCTACCTGGACCATATGCCATTAGTGTTCCAATGCTGCCTTTTTTTGCTAGATCATCATGGACTCCAACATTACAAAGCAGGCACTGAATGAGATTGAGACACGGCACAGTGAGATCATCAAGCTAGAAAACAGCATCCGTGAGCTTCACGATATGTTCATGGACATGGCGATGTTGGTGGAAAGTCAGGTGAGAGCTGCTGCAGAAGGATGGACTTCTTATTGGCGTACCAGGTAGCAACATTTAGTCCTGTGTTGATTAGTCTCCAGTCTCTACACTATCCTCTGCTGGAGATACTGCAATGCTACCTTTGCAGTGTAGTTCCTGCATTAAATAGAGGGTTGGGATAAATGACTTTGTTAGTTTTATGGCCTGGATCACACACACACAAAAAGATTTTTGTTGATACAAACTTCCCTGTACCACCCTGTTTTGAATATATGAAGGTTTCATTTCATGACTCACTCTGTTTACCGATTAACTCCTTTTTATTTTCACGTGGTGTATTAAAACATAGATTAACAATGAAAGCCCCTCCAAAAAATAAAAGTTAGAACTAAATATATTTTCAATGACATGCAAAATGCAACTATTTAACTCTTATAGGACTTGGTTAAGCATATTGTTCAAATTATGATGGCCCAGTAAAGATCAAGCCACCACATCTGATTTGTTCAAAATTTACTGCAGTTTGAACTTAAAGACTCTCCATAAAAGGGACAAAAGAGAATCTTGACCTGGGAACAAGGAAGAAGTAATGTGTAGGCAACTGATCCTGCGATTTTTCTTCACACTACACTGTGTGATCATGCTTTGTATATTATTGTCCCTAATAACTTTTGCTGGAAGAAGCTAAATTTGTGTACATATTTCTGTGGAAATAATAGTAAGAGGGAATATCTCCTAGAATCTCCTACCCCAGATAATGTTGTGTTGTTACAGTATTATTGTTTCGTTTTCTGAACCATTCTTCCTTCTGAAGGTTTAGAGAAGAACCTAAAGCCAATTTTAGGTAATAAAGAAGCAGTTCTTTTAAAAATAAATTAAAACAAGGCTCAATAAAAATTCATTTAAAAAAAAAAAGACAAGACAGTCTGTTCCTGCCTGGCAGAGTTGTTATTCAGCAAATGCCTGGGTGGATATATGTGCTTTTATCTGCTGTCAGAAGGACAGCAGGATAGGGAAGACCTATACTTTACTGAGGAAAGAGGTCCATAATTGGGGTGCTGTCACAGGAAATGCTTTCTAAAAGGTCGGATTGCATTGCAAATGTCTGTCTGTCTGTTTTTGTTTTAAACACAACCTCCTGGGAAACTTCAGTAATAGAAATGATGTGACATGGTCAATTTCCATATGCCCACCTGTGCAAGCCATAGAGAGTGAAGCAGAGAGGGGGACTTCAAGCATGGGATGTGGGTGGGTGGGCTGCATTTACAGAAATAGGCAGAGAGGAAAGTGGAGATATCATCCTCTTAAGGGGTGAATACATTTGATTTCTGATTGTCTGGCCCAGCGTTTCTTCGTACCACTCCTGACCCCCTCTTTCTGTCTCTCACGCTACCATGCATACTCGGATAAAGCTGTTCAGGTATTGGCAGGTAATGCCCATTTTCCCAGAGCTGGGAGAATTGCATGTCTATGCTGCATGGCTGCTTCATGATTCTGCATGCCTCTGCAGTGTTGTTGGGAGGTGGGAGGGCCAAGTGGCTAGCTTGCCTAGAGCAGATGCTGGAGGAAGGAAGAATAGGTTGGTGTTACAGCGTATTGTATGTGTGCTTCATATAAAAAAAAATTGAGACTTGATCTCAGGAATCTAAGAGAGGTGGGCTGGATCCAAGGTAATTGTTTTCAGCTGAAGACAACACCAGGTTCAATGACCCAGTCTTTCCTTGCATGATGATCCCCCTCTTGGATTTCTCTTGATAGCTAAAAAAGATTGCTAAGCTAGTTAAGGTGATTAAGGTTTCAGCAAGCTGCGTAATGTTCATTTCCCAGAAGAGTCACCCACATGGCCATTGCTGAAAATTTTGAGAATTGGTCCATGCATCAGGAGAGGATGTGGGGGAGGCTGCAATTGTCAAAGGTTATCAAGGCAGATTGAAAAGGATCTCAAGTCAGCTAGGCCAAACACTTCTGAAAAAACAGAAAGCAGAGCCCCCACCCCACCCCGCCCCCCCTCATTGTACTTTTCTAACAACATAAAAGTTCCAGATACAGTCCCTCAACTTAGGACCACAATTGAGCATGGAATCTCAGTGGTCAAGTGGTCATTAAGTAAGACATCACATGACTACTCATGTGACTGATTTACTCAATGATTCAACACTCCCAGATGGGACCATTAAACCAATTGTGTGAGTCATGAAGCAGATGGAGTCCCAGGTAAGGAGTGCAGGGAGCCTGGCAGGGGAAATCCTGGGGCAGGGGGTTTGTCTCTCTGCTCAGGAGCCGAAAATTCTCCTTGCCAAAACCCAAGCAGGATTTTCAGCTTTTGGGGACACACATTCCACACAGCCTGTGCCAAGCCTACCAGGGCCTACCCCACCTTCCTGAGGCACTCTGTGCTGCTAACTCTATTGCACTGGCCTCTCCATCTCTGCTTGGATTTCAACTCCCTCTCCTTTCTATGATCTGGCTGAAAGAGCTGCCTGCCAAAGGATGTCATCTCTGCTGCACATGCAGAAAGGATCGCCTTTGGCAGGGTGCAAAAATGGAGCTCAAATCACCAGGATCTGATCTTTGTTTCTGCTCCCTGTGGAAGGATCTCATTTCTCCTGCATGTGCAGAAGGAAACTCCTTCCACAGGATGTAGAAATGGAGCTCAAATTACCAGGATCTGAGCTCCATTTCTTCATGCCACCAAAGGAGTTCAGCTCCCCTTGGCAGGCAACACAGCCAGCCAGCTCCCAGAGACGAGAGGGAGCCATCTTGGCATGGGCAGCAGCTCCCAACCTTTCCTACCAGTTTCTCCTTTGACTTTCTGGGGAAGCTAGCAGAGAAGATTGCAAATGGCGATCGAACGATTGCAGGAACTTGGCAGCCAGTCAAAAGGTTGCCAAGCACCCAGATCGCAATCACACAACCTATGGGCTGGGGGGACATTTTATGAAGACCAGAACTGCTTTACGGGCCATAAAACATCCTTTCTGAGGAGGCCGTCTTAACTTTGAACAGTCACTAAATGACTGCTCGTAAGTAGAGAACTACTTGTAAACATTACTTTTACAAGCATGTCTTGTATGTTCTAATGAGTGCTGCTTTGTGATACATATGGGGAGACATTCTCTGCGTGCACTTGTGGTTCTTTTCTTCCTGCCTCTTGGTATGCTACCACAGCAGCTGTGCTTTTGTGTTGCTGAGTGCCTTTTATGGAGTAGTGTTTTCATTCCTTTGTGTATGTGTATATTTTATCAGACAATAGAGTAAGACTCTAGAATCTTTGTCTAGGCACCTCCACCCTATAATCAGGTGCAGTTGAAAATACAGGAAAAGGGAGACCTTCACCTTTCTAGCATTTGAAAAGTATTTGGGATTCACATTAAAACTATAAACCCTGAATAAATAAAGAGTTGGAGAGTCTCAAATTCAAATCTGTACTTCTGCCATTGAGGCCTCTTCAAAGTGAGAACTACATATGATAAAACAATAAAAGAAATTTAGAACAATAAAGCCTGAAGCGGACCAAGCAATAATAAATGATATTAAAACAGGGTTTTTAAAAATTATTGTTAAAGATTTTTCCCTTGCTTTTGATCTAAACATTTCAAAGATACACCAGCCAATGTGGTATGGTGATGAAGATGTTGGAATAGGAGCAGAGAAATGTGAATTTGAGTCTCTCCTCCAGTACAGAAGTTATGTAGAGGATTTTGGGCTGGTCACTCTTAGCCTAAACTTTCTGATAGAGGAAAAAATAGAACGAGGGTGTACTTTGTACAGCACTTTGAGTTCCTCTGTAAAAGATGGGTTAAAAATAAAATAAATACAATTTTAAAATGAGATAATTATTAACCCACCCATTTGAAGTTCTGAAAGACATAACAGAAAAACTAACAGGGATGAAGGCAGAAGAGGAAAAATACCAACTTCTGATGCAGTGGCAGGCTGGGTGCAAGTAGAATAACTTGGTGGAGCATGTTTTTTGTCTGAGTTGATGAACAGCTCTGATGCCATCTCAGTTTGCCATAATTTTGAGGATAAAAGCTGTTGAGGAATATGTACAGGTAGTCCTCAACTTACTATCACAATTGAGCCCAAAATTGCTGTTGTTGAGTGAGACATTTGTGAAGTGGGTTTTGCCCCATTTTATGACATTTCTTGCCCAAGTTGTAAGTGAACCACTGCAATTGATAAGTTACTAACCTGGTTGTTAAGTGAATCTGGCTCCCCCATTGACTTTGCTTGTCAGAAGATCACAAAAGGGGATCACATGACCCCGGGACGGTCATAAATATGAACCAGTTTGCAAGCATCTGAATGTTGATCACATAACTCTGAAAAAATGGTCATGTCACTTTTTTCAGTGCCGTTGAAACTTCAAACGGTCACTAAGTGAACTGTTGTAAGTTGAGGACTACCTCTATAAGGAGGCATGTGACATCATGTACTCCAGTGAGGCCTCAGGATCCTCCCTGCCCCTAAACCACCAAGTGTCAACCTTGTTATTCTGCTCTCTTTTGTTCCTTCAGATGATAGGTCTAGCGGAAAATGCCAGGGCGAAGGAGGCTGAAAGCACCATTCCCACTCCACGTGGACGTGAGAAAAGAGGTAACGGAGAACCTCAGCATCCCTCAAGCCACATTTTTTTTGAAATCTGTGTGCATCCCCCGTTGTGCAGGGTGAGATGATCGACCGCATTGAATATAACGTGGAACACTCCGTGGACTATGTGGAGAGAGCCGTGTCAGATACCAAAAAAGCTGTAAAGTACCAGAGCAAAGCCCGGAGGGTAAGCACTCATCGGTGGTCTGTGCAGAAGGTGGGGGAGGGGGCATTAAGCCATCCTGTGGTGTCCCAGAGATGCAATGGCCGGTGTGGGAAAGTATGGTGGTGAATAGATTAAGACTTGCACAGAAGCAAGCATTGTTGTCTTCATATTGCTCCACAGCCCTGATTTGCCTTGAAATACAACAGGGGTGTCACTCTGGATTTCTTCAAGGGCCTGATCAGCATTGTAATTCTCCTCCGCGGGCCGGCCAGTGGGGGAGATGGGATGGCCGGCCTCCTGCGACACCCTGCTGGCTAAAACAGGGCACGGGGCCTCGAGTGGCTCTCCCTACACCCAATTTTGGCTGGCCGAGTGCTGCAGGAGGCCATCCAGGCCGAAAATGGGGCGTGGGGGGCATGCACACACGCCCCCCGCACCCTGTTTTGGCTGCCAGACGCACCACAGACCAGTCCATGGCTATTTCCAGGCCAGATTTAAACACCCTAAAGCCCTTGAGTTTGACACCCCTGAAATACAAAGACACATAGATTACAAGGTTCACCCACTCTTCCCTAATCAAGAAGCCTCTAGCACAAGCTCATATGTTAATCTTTCCATCTCTCTCTTGTGTGTTTTCTCTTTTATTTAACTGGTCTTGAAAATTGTGCCTTCCCTTCCCATTTGTTGAGCATTGTTCTAGGTCAATACAATGGATTGCTGTTGGAAATGGTCCTCTCAGTGTTGCTTTTCAAACACTGCAACTCGGGCATCAGTCCTTGAAAATACACATTTTCAACACAGGCAGTTTGTTTTTTTTATAATAGCGTACATGCTGCCCCCTCCAAGGACTCTGGGTGGCTCATAATAAGATCAAAATCAGAACAGTCAGAATGATTTAAACCAATCAAATAAAACCCCATCCTTTAGCCCAGAGATCGCTCTTTACGATGGCTCCTTTATGATTTGTGGGCTTCAACTCGTAAGAATTCCTGAGCCAGCAGGGCTAGCTCAAGAATTCTGGGATTTGAAGTCCACAAGTCATAAAAGAGCCATTGTTCCCCTCTCCTGCTTTAGCCCTTAAAGCAGAAGATACTTCCACTCTGTACCAGGCCCAAAGGCCCATTGGAATAGCATAATCATGGCTACTTTCTGAACGGGCTGTTGGAAAGGGCCAGCCTCACCTTGGAAACTGGCACTAAGGTGTCTCTGCTTCCTGACCTATTTTCTGTGGACCTCTCTCAGGAGGGACTCCAGGCTGCCCATAAATTGCATGAAGTGGATGGATAGGTTCTTTCTGCCTCAGAAAAGCCTAAAGGTAACAAGAAACTGAACCATAAAGATAAACCATGAGAAAGGAGTTGTGGTGGCACAGCAGTTAGAATACAGTATTGCAAGCTAACTCTGCCCACAGCCAAGAGTTCGATCCTGACCAGCTCAAGGTTGACTCAGCCGTCCATCCTTCCGAGGTCGGTAAAATGAGGACCCAGATTATTGGGGTAATATGTTGACTCTGTAAACCACTTAGAGAGGGCTATAAAGCACTATGAAGTGGTATATAAGTGCTATTGCTAAGTGCTCCAAACAGAGGATAATCATTACCTTGAACTGGACCCAGAGATTAACTGCTACAGTCCAGCTCCTGTAAGATTGCTGTTTATTCCGCTGTGTCATCATTCATCATCCAGCAGGGGCTGAATTTTGGACCAATAATAGCTTCCAAAATGCCTTTCTCAGGGCACTTAACCTAAACCTTCTTAAAACCAACAGGATTCTTACAATATATTTTAAAGACATCTTTAACATTGTTACCATATTCTTCAGCCTGAAGGAAGAATTAAGTCACTGCCTGCACACTTAACGATCAAAATACGATATGATAGGAAAGGAAAAAGAGATGGATGAGAAAGAGAAAAAAAACCACTCACAGATTCAATTTCTTTAAGCTAAATAAATAGAATAGAATAGAATAGAATAGAATAGAATAGAATAGAATAGAATAGAATAGAATAGAATAGAATAGAATTCTTTATTGGCCAAGTGTAATTGGACACACAAGGAATTTGTCTTGGTGCAAATGCTCTCTGTACATAAAAGAAAAGATACATTCGTCAAGAGTCAAGAATCATAAAGTACAACATTTAATAATACTCACAGGGTACAATAAGCAATCAAATTATACTAGGAAACAGTAAAAATCATGATACAAGGTTACAGTCATACAGTCATAAGTGGGAGGGGATGGGTGAAAGGAAGGATGGGAGGAGTAATAGTAATAGTAATGCAAACTTAGTAAATAGAAACTTAGTAAATAGAAAATAATAACTAGTAAATAGAAATGATACAATCCCTGACCCACTTACTGAAATTCTGAAAAACGTAACAGAAGGAACAGCGATGAAGGCATCCCGTAGGTGAGCTATCTGGAATCAAATCACTTCAGGGAGTTAGAGCAGTTCCCTTTGGTGTAACTTTCTATGCGAGCTCAGGAGCACCTCTCAAGTCTGCGTTATTGCTGTTTCTTCCTTGCTCTTGCAGAAGAAGATTATGATTATCATCTGCTGCGTCATCCTGGGAATCGTCATTGCTTCTACTATTGGTGGGATTTTTGGCTAAAGGCCTGCAACCATCCGAGAATATCGCTTGTGGGAGCAAGGAGATGAATAGGAGCACTGGAGCCACCCAGCCCATCACCCACTTGGGCCCATCCAAACCCTGTACCCGCCATTGGAGAGAACTGGCGGACCAGCACTCTCGTCTCTAATGCATGATTATTTGTGTTAACACTATGTGTTAAGTACAGTGTACGTGTTGGGGGAGGGATGGTGCTGGGGGAGGGGATGGTGGGAAGGCAGTGTGTGCATGACATGCTCAAGGTTTCAGCAGTTCCACCACCTTTTGACCTGTTCTTGATGGTCACATCTCCTCAAACCGAATCCCCTTCCCTTTCCAGTGAGATTCTCTTTCTTGTCCCCAAAATAAGAGTTTGCTACAACAGCTATGCATAGTTAATCCAGTCCCTGTCCTGGCAGGTGTCTGGTCATCATCATCTGTCACCAGAACTGTGTCCACTGCTTAGCTCCAATCAGGCCAGTCTTCCTCTTTTTTTTTAGCTGTGGGCAAGGACCTCTTTGTAGTGTTGCAGGCCTGTTCATCTATTCTGTATTTGTTTTTTAATTCTGCAGCTGCCCAGCCAGGAATAAAAGATGGGTACAGCCCACCTGGCTCAAATCTGTGTCTTCCACAGTTCTGCCCTGAGCGCCATTTCTGTTCAGCAGAACCCTCACCCCCTTTTTCAATTTCTGAAGAACCACCACTGGGCTTCTTTTCTCTTGCCTTCCTGTAAACAAAATATAATGTATTTGTTTAAAACGTCATTCAAGGTTAGTTTGCTTTAAAAAAAGCAGGAAGGTGACCTGCAACGTGAAATTAGGAGGAAACCACTAATATTTAACTTCTAAACAACCAGCTAAATTGGAGGAGTCAAAGGTAAGCTTCACCACATCCAATTAGGTCTTCTGTATGTTAAACAAGGGCTGGTGGATGATGAAATGGGAATTTGCAAATGTGTATTTTGGAAATTTATTCCAGGCAAGTTGCAGTTCCTCCTTCACACAACACAACAAATCCGACTTTAAAATATTATGAGAAGCAGCCTTATATGGAGGGCCTATTAAAATGTTTCTGGCACTAATGTGTCCATGGCATTCCTTGGTCCTTACAAGACCTTCTGTCTGATTTTTTTAAAAAAATGTTCTATTTCAAAGTTGGTTTTTTTGGTCCTTATACGTTTGGAAATAAAATGGTGGCTGCAAAAAAAAGATGAAAGTTAATCAGGCTGGTAGTAAATTTTAGCAATTGAGTTAGAAAGCAAACAGAATTCTCATTTATTTGCCCTCTGATAAATGGTACTTTGTGACTGGGAGAAGGGCAGCTGTGGCGTGTTGAAAGTCCAGTTATGCCCACTGGAATAAATAGCTGAGGGCCCTGCCTTCAATGAAGGTTGGAATTGTATCAACCTTGTGCCTCGTTCCAGAAGTTACAGCTGACATCATGCCTGTAACATACATATTGGGTGCTTGAGCTATGCCAGAGACTGAAACCTCCTTGGCCTAGAATTAGCCTCTTTGTGCTTAAGACCAACTGGGCTAGTCCAGCTTCTGCCACTGTAAAATGTCACTGTCAGTACCTGGGTACCTAACTTTACCTGCCCACTGCATTGTCCAACAGCAAAAGGCTTGTTTTTAATCAAATTCCACTTTTTTTTTTCCCCTGTGGGCTAATTGAGGATTTTACCAGGTGGTTGGCTGGAGTGTTCCTCTCTTAGAGGCGCTTCCTGGACTGGCTTCTGATGACAAAACTGGTGGGGTGGGTCATCTTCTCCCTTTTATATGCCACAACCTGCCTCCTATTATTATTCCAATTGCCAAACCTTCACCCCATGTCCCTGCTATCTCATCTTAACTTGGCTCTTCCAGCTGCTTCACACCACCAGCAGTATCTTTCATACAATACTACAGCAAAATTCTGGACCAAGGACCTGCTCTCTTATCCTCACCCCTAAGGGATGCTTGCTTCTCATCATAGTTTGCCTTAGTCAGAAATGGCTTATTGGGGAACAAGAAACTCCAACAGAGTTTTCTCAAGGATAGAGCGACATGACATAATCCTCATTGCGGGAATCGGTCAAGACGGTGTAATGTAGCACAGATGAGCTTCAAAAACCATTTGTGTTAGGCAAGGTTCACACTTGGAAGACTGGTTGCAGATATTGGCTCCTCCCTGCCAATAGGTGGTTGTTTTTCCTTCCATAGTTGTCAGTAAATATTGAAAACTTCTGTTGAATAATCAAGCTTCAGTTTTGCTCATGGCAGTTCCCCCACCTTCTAAAACTGTTAAGCTGCTTCCTTAATTTCTTCCCGGTTTGGGTGACCTTAATTAACTTTTCTGCACGGGCAAAAGTTCTGCTGCAGCACCAGGGCAGCTACTGCTCCTCCCTCTATTCACACCTTCCTTTGTTGCATGTCAAAAATAGAGCTGTTGCTAGGACATCTGTGCTTCAGGAATCTCTCCAGATAGAGAGAAAATGTGTCAATCATCTTTAATCTTAAAAAAAAAAAAAAAACACCACTCTCTGAAGTGCCACTGTAGTCTCACCTGTTGCAGTATTCAGCATTCTTGCAGGGGAAGACATTTCGCCTATGATGTCATAGAGGCCTCCCTAAGAGTTGTAATGTTGCTGTACAATGTGAATTAAGTGCCCTTGTCTCTTGTGACCCTCGTCTCACTTTCCAGTTTGGGGAATCTGGAACTAATCCTCTATTGCTTCCTTTCTACATTCCAGCGCCTCTCTTTCTGTGTGCTTAATTTGTTCCCAAATGTCTTTCCCTCACCACCTCCAAACTTCAGGGGGGAAACGGCTTTCTTTTATGAATGAACTTTTATGTAGAATAAAAGAATATTTATATCAAATATGTCATCCTTTTGAGTCTCTGTGAACTGGAACATAGAGGGGAATAAGCTGTACTTACACGACTTCTGAGCTGGTTATACAGAATTTAATTTTAAAAGTGTATACCTACTGGATCATTTATTACAGCACATAAGTATTCAGGTTTTCCTACTGCTGGAAATGAAAGGAGAACCACATGCCAAGCAACTAACTTACCAAAGTATTTTCTGGTTTCTGATAATACAAATGTCATAGTTAAAAAATCTTAAATAGAGCTTTGTTTCTTCACTGATTTGCTTCTGCTCAGCACAGAGCTCAGACTAAGATGAGATCTGTACCGGTACCTTTTTTAAGGCAGATGCTTGATGATCACCTAAGCCCAGATTTTTGCTAATTTTGATAATACTTTGCTTAATGATGTCCTAAGCCCAGATTTTTCTCCTTGCAGCAGCTTAAACCAGCAAGCAGAATCTGTTTCCAAGACCTCATTTAATTGAGAGTTCGAGTAGTAAAACTGACACAACCTAATCTGAAACCATCAGGAACCAAACAATCGGGCAGCAAAGAAACAGTGAACTGCCTGGGTCCCATATGCTCTGTGAGATGTTCTTTTTAAAGGGGTAGGAGCAAAGAAGGGATTCTGGCCAGCCTGGAAGTCTTCAGCAGCTTCTGCTCAATTTGCTTCCTCCTTTTCCACTACGCAACAAAGCAGGCCAGCTCCAAAAAAACTTCAGTCCAATTAGCAGGAAGTCAGAACTGAGGTTTCCGCTTTCGACCTGTGTATTTTGTGTCTGCTCTCACGTTCCTGCAGATGAACCATAAAAGAAGACAAAGTAAGAATGGGCAAAATGCAAGAAGCAGATATTGGAGGATTTTTGCAAAACTTCAAATGCTGGGAGATAATCACCAATCTTGGCTTTTATTCTGATCTCATGCTCCAATAGATGCTCAGCCTTTTGGCTAAGATCAAGTACAGTATTTATTTATTGAATTTATATTGCCACCTATGGGGGGGTATTCTAATCCCTGGGGAAATGAGGTTCCAGAGAGAGGGAGCCACCATGGAGAAGGCCCTTCTTCTGGGTCCCACCAGGTGTATCTCGGGGATGGGACCCACAGCATTCCCTGCCTCCCCACTCTGATTGGTTGGATAGATGTAACCGGCAAGAGACAGTCCCTCAGATAACCTGGTCCCAAGCCATGAAGGGCTTTAAAGGTGACAACCAGCACCTTGAATTGCACCCGGAAGCAAATAGGTAACCAATGCAGCTCCCACAGGAGAGGTGATACATGTGCACACCGGGGTCTGCACAAAACCATGCAGCCCACTGCATTTTGCACGAATTGGAGCTTCTGGATGCTCTTCAAGGGCAGCCCCATGTACAGCGCGTTGCAATAGTCGAGAAGGGAAGTGACTAGGGCGTGAGTGACTTGAGTAAGGACCAGTGGTCCAAGAAAGGGCGCTACTGCTTTAAAATAATGATCAACAAATGAAAAGAAACAATGCAATACTCCACTTGAAAATTAAGTGCTGTATCAAGTGTAAACTCTATTTTACATTTTGTTGTGGCAAAAATACCTGGCAGAGGAAAGAAATGCTAACCTTCGCAGTAGCAGCTTTTTCCCCCAGTAAACTGGGAAAAACAGCCACAGAAAGTTTGACTAAGCCATCTGCTATTAAATATTGCCAGCACATTTGGCTGCAAAAGAGATTGCAAGGTCAGCCATGTCATGCAAACACAGCTTTCATATCTGTTTCCTGCCTTAAAATGATAACCACAACAATTCTCAGCTGTTTTAGTTAGTGGGATCTGCCAAGCCTCCCCAAAAAGGGAGGCCAGATCATACTTTGAGGTCACAAGTTGCCACCTGGGCCTATTCTATAAGACACAAGGAATCTTGATCTGAAGGAAGATGCAGAGTTCAGACTTACTTGCCCTGCCGTCGCCTCCGTTCTTTCTTCTCCAACACCCAGTCTCTACTCTTCTTCACTGACTTCCCTTTGGCATTTCTAAACTGGATCCTTGTGGGGAAAAAAGTCAAATCACAAATATTATCCAGTTGTTACTTTAATTCAGGGCCAAGTAGCCTCAAAAAACAGCAAAACATAGAACAGTGCAAAGAAGCAATACAAAAATTATTACTTTTTCAAAGATTTTAAAAGGTCCTTTAAAAGGCCTACCAATGGGTAGAAAACTGTACAAATTACTCAGTCTTTGTCCATTGTGAACTGTGGCTGTAACTGAGAAGGTCCCACTTTTAAAAAGAGGCTCATCTAACTTTCTAAGGGGAAAATCAGAATAAAGCCTCAGGATAGTCCATATAGGAAGATGTGATTTCCCTGAAATGACTAGAATTTAAGAAAAAACAACAACCTTGAGGGTGGAAATGAAGTAACACCACAGAGACTTATTGTACAGTATATTACTTGAGTTTAAAAGACCAATGCAACAAATGACATAAACTATTCCACCCTTACTCAGGAAGGATGTTAGATTTCATTTTGGGAGAGAACTAGATTAGGTAAGGTTGGGCTACACACCTACTAATTCATATTATTGACCAAATCAGAGCATTTCCATTAACAGAGTGTCAGAGGCAGGAAAACATGGCAATTAGGCTGTTGATTACCATGACAATGATCCTCTGGCTATTGCTGTGTGTCTCTCCTCCAAGCCATGAAGAGGGGGAATGCAGCCTTTCACAGATTTAGAGGGGAGGAGACGTTGCTGATTTGCCTATCAAACCCACATGCCATAGAAAATATTCAACTACAAACAACCCTTGTTTTTCAAAACTTGCTTATAGGCTCTTACTTTTCCCAGGGCTCCAAAAGGCAAACCACTCTTACTCTTATTTTGCAGTTTGGGCTCTGAGGTCAAGAGCAATATAATTAAGCCTGAACCACCCTAAAGCCAATATCCTCCTGCTTCCAGTTCTGGCCTTGTTACCTTTCATTGGTGAACTTGGCCTGTGTGGTCTCTTCTTCACTGCACTCTGTACCAAGACCCTGCCAAAACCACAAAATAAAATAATCCACATGAATTTAATTGAAAGAGAAACACCAACCACAAAAAATGAGACAAGATATCAAGGTGTGTCAGCCTTACAAGGTAGTCTACAAGAAGCACACTCAAAAATACTAGCTCTAACTTTACCTGAAATGTTACCTTAACAGATTCTTGCAAGTCTGAAAGTATTTCTCTCCCACCTCATCTTTACAATCCAAGAAAGAGGATTCTTACTGAGGCATTTGCCATGCCTACATTCCTTCTCTGGATTCAACTGTCATTTGTCTGACTGTTGTCTAGTCTCAAGATCATTCTTATATACCATTATAGGGAGGTACAATTAAGGGGTCCAAGCAGGGAACTTAAAAGCCACATACTATCTTAATTGGGAGACCCAGTGACCGTGCTTAGCAGAGATAATTTAGCTTAAATGTTCCAATGTGTCATTCTGGAGCAAAAGAACCATATATCTTAGTAAACAAAATACTCTTTAATTTGACAAGAATTGAAAATACGCCTTTCAAAAGACAAGAATTTGGAAGTGAGATAGGTGCCAGAGGAATTAAAAGCCATCTCATCTATCAAGAATCTTTCTTTGTCCTTCATAGTGGAAGAGTTTTAGATTAAAGCACTTCAATTGTCCCACCAATTTTATTACCTTTGGTAATACATCAGTTATGCCAGAAAAGAGACAGAGAAAAAATCTGTAAAAAGAAAAAGATAAGTAGAATATCAAACACACACATGGAAAGAAAGGAACTTTTCAAAGTCAAAGGACCTACTCTACTGAAAGATGATCTGTTGGTACCATCTAGTACTGACTCTTAGAAGCAATCAATCAAAGATCTCCAGAAGAGGGGGTCTTTTCTGCTACCAAAAAAGGATCCAGTACTGAATAGCGGTCCCGCCTCATCGAATTATTTTCTACATGAAGTGCCAGGAAAAGAGAAACATGGGATTTATTTCAATGAATTGAACAGCCCTGCAAAACTGCAGATGACTAGGAATGTTCTATGTCCTTAAATTTCCCACAAGAATCTGAACACGTCTGACATATTAAAGGATTTCTCATGAAAAGTGTCTCAAGAGGGGGTCCTTACCTAACCATGCACAACATATTAAACCATAATATTGTTTGGTACAATTGAATTTTCACAGGAAGCAGTAAATTATCAATGGACTCTGGGGGATGGTGGAGGACAGGAAGCCCTGGAGGAACGTTGTCCATGGGGTCATGATGGGTCAGACATGACTTCGCAACAAGTCAATTTTCCAAAAACGTGATGCTACACATGCACTGATCAGAGAAATTCATATCGCTCTTGATCCAAAAACTTCATGCAGTGTGTATTGTGGAGCATCCCTATCTCCCCAAAACCTGAAGTACCAATCTCCCCCCAGATAGCAAAAGACTTACTTTTTGGCTTTGGTACTATTGGGGTAGTCTACCACCATGCCACCTGTGAAACCTGCCTTCATGGCTTGGGTGGTGATGAGCTCCAGCTGCCAAGAGAAAGAATGAATCTGAGATGTTCTTTTTCTAGCCATACAGACCTCCCTCTTGAGGATGGGAAGGGCCAGGCTTCCTCGTCCAATAGAGAAGCTTCCCCATTGACCTTGCTTGTCAGAAAGTTGGGAAAGGTAATCACATGACCCCAGGGCACTGTGACCATCATAAATATAAGTCAGCTGCCAAGCATCTATATTTTGATCACATGACCATGGGATGCTGTAATGTTCATAAGTGTGAAAATGGTCATAAGTCACATTTTCAGTGCTGTTGTGATTTTTAACAGTCATTAAATGAACTGTTGTAAGTCAAGGACTATCTGTAATTTAGACTTTTAAAAATTGTACTTTGCTCTTGCTCTAGATATGGGACTAGACCATAATGTAGAAGTCAAAAGTAGCTCTGACTTTTCCCAAAGAGTTGCTCAGCAATTTTTGTTTCTTGATTAATTGTGTAATTCTTCTAAATTATTCCAGCAGAAGTATGGAAAACATTGACTTGCCTAATTTGATCAAGCAACCAAAATCAGCTCTTGCTGATCTACCAATACAACACACACACACACACACAACCTCCTACATAAAGTTACCTTCCTCTACATGCCTTCCTACTCAGAAGCTTTCCTCCCCCAGCCCCAAGGCACAAACCTGCTGAGAGTTTTCCGGGTATAACTGTAGAACAGCACGGGCTCCTCGGGCCTAGAAAACAAAACGTACATAAGATCTTGCAATCTGGCCACGATCTTATTTATGAGAATTAAATATTGAAGCAACTTTTGTCAAAAATTAATGGTTAATCCAGCCTGATATCATCTGCTTTGAATGGCAGTGGGATCAATTTTCCCCAGCTCTACTATCCAAGATCATAGCTTCCTAAAAATTCTAATATCTTCTTCAGGCCACGTTTACTCCATACAAATCTATGGCACAACGTTTCCTCACTCTCATCCTTAAAACTCTTTTTCATTCAGCTGCATCTAAGCAGTGGTGGTAATGGAGGAGTATTACTTCCCTACATAACTGCAGAAGCTTTAGCCTAATATTTCTCAACCGTGGCAACTTTAACCTGAGTGGACTTCAACTCCCAGGTTTCCCCAGCTAGCATTGCTGACTGAAATATTTTCTGAGTTGGGAGTCCCCACATTTTAAAGTTGCTGAAGTTGAGAAACATTGTTTTAGCCTCTGAACGTCTGTTGCTAGGGAAGCCTACCCATTAGAACAGCTGCAATTCCCATTTGACTTCAAGATTAGTCTTCTTATTGATCTGAACACAGAATGAAGACCAAACTCTTCTCCCAGTTTTCTCAGAATAGCAAAAGTGAAAGGGGGAAAACAGAACCTGCCTGTTTCGCCATATTTCAAGTCACTATGCATATTCCTAAACCATATTGTTCCACCTCTCCCTCTCTTATTTTCCTCCTCTCACCTTACTTATACTTTATATAACAGCTAACTGTCAAACTGTAAAATACATAGATAGGATCTCTTACCTTCCTTAATCAGAAACTTTTAAGGATGTGTGTGTGTGTGTTAAAATACAGAAAAACAAAACTTTACCAGAGCAGTATATAGAGTTGAGAAGAACCGATACAGTCGCTTTGGAGGGCTATGAGTTTTCTTATCAGCATTACAGAGCCACTGAATGGCAGAAATACTGCAAGAAAATAATTCAGGACAGTGAATATGTTTTCCCTATCTTATAGTCACTAGTTATGGGTGATGCTTGTTACAAATTCTTACCTGATACAACCATCAAATGTTCCAGGTCGGAAGGGAATCCCCTGGCCCATATCTGCTAGCATCAGGTCTCCCTCTACTTCTCTCTCCATGGCTACATCTAATTAGAATAAAGAAAGCAGGACGCTGCCATGAAAGTTTAGCTCAGGAGAGAGCAAAAAAAAAAAAAAAAAAGAGCTCTACTCACCAAGCATTGCTGGACTGATGTCCATACCAACCCAACAGTGCCCTTCTTCAGAGATATAATCACCACTTAAACCAGAGCCACAGCTGATAGAAAAAGCACAATTAGGACAAATAAATATATGCTCTCTTTTTCATTACATAAGATAGAGTGAAAAATTAAAAAAATGTTAAACCCTGGAGATATATTGTGTTACTTAAAAGTTACCCCTAAATGCAGAACGCACCTATTTTAAAACGAAGATGTGGTTAATGGGAGCAGGGAAGAACGGCTTTAATACTTCGAGAATTTACAACTGTTTGAAAGGTGGCTTAAACTTACAAACATTTTCTCCCATACTTGTTTCCATCTGGAGGGACATCAGAAAGCATTTATTGGATGATGAGCTGCAGCTAAATGGCATAGCACAGTTTACTTGGGAGGGAGGCAACTCCCTATGATTCTATGTTTCTACTCTTAAATAGGGAGAAAATCTCAGATTGGTGATCACAAGAAAGCCATCATTCTACCTTCAACCTGGCAGAGCTGCTTTCAGCCGAATATAACTATGTACTTAATGGGTTCAACACTGAGCATTTGAAGATAATTGCTGCTCCTCTAAAGAAGGGCTTTTGATATATAGCCAGTCATGCTTCAAGGAGACTTTTAAAATTTAGATACTAAAGGAAGTCTCAGAGCTTATATTGATTGGGTGGGTGGGTAATGCAAACATGGTATCATTTCCCTAGGAAATAAACTTAAAAACCCATTCCTATTCTGGTAGATCAATCCCTTAAGAACAACAAAACAAATTTACCCAACATCCAGCAAAAAACACGGACGATTGTCTGGGAGACCCAACAATTCCACTGCCCGTTCAGACATCTGAGACTGAATCTCAATCATTCGAGAGCTAGAGGATGGAAATTGAATACATGAGCGACACCAAGAAATAAACATATAGCAGAGTATTCTCTTGAATACTAATAGGAAAACATAAGCTTCTTTTTAACTTATTCTTGAAATTTCAACAAGATGCCTATACGCAAACAATAAGCAATCTATTCCAGGTACTCAGGAGAAGAAATGGTAGATGGTGGCACAGTGATCAGAATGCATTATTGCAGGCTAACTCAGCCCACTGCCAGCAGTTAGAGATTCTGACTGGCTCAAGGTTGACTCAGCCTTCCATTCTTCCAAGGTCAGTAAATGACCCAGATTGGAAATTTTAACTGAGGAGATATGTGCTATGCGAATGCTATGTTGATTTGAGTTTTTAAATATATATATAAAATTTATAAATAAGCTGCATCTCACAGCCCAAGATTGCCTTACTTATGCGTGTATTTTCGAGCTTCAGCTTCATCATAGAACTAGGAGGAAAAGAAAAGAGAAATGAATAAAAGGAAATCACAAAAAAGTTTTGCTGGATTCATTCAAAAGTCTTTCATCCTTCTTCTGGAAAGGTCATTAAAGAGAGATGAAAGCAATTCATGTGTTAGATTTTCCTTTCACTCCTGATTATCCTCTCCGTCCCAATTTTTTTTCTTGCCAATAATACAATTTGACATGGACAAGAGTTATTATCTTATTGCTTCTATAGAATTGGGCTTTCACTTTAAATTACCAAGAGATCATTAAACAGACCCTGTGCTCTTTTTCTCCACCTAGTGACCTCATAGTACACTACCGATGCTTGCACACCAACAGCCCTATTTGTCTCTAAAAGCAGAAACTGGGAAAAGTGTGCTTCCAAAAATGAAAAATCTGTTCAGCTATTTCAGATATGTTGCTCCTTCAACACATTTTTGTCTCCAAAAATAGCAGTATATTTCAGAGTTTAGATGAAAAGCTGGGCCTGTAACCTGAGTCAAAGCAAGATGGAAATAAGGAATACTGTTATTCCTTATTTTAAGTATTAAGTATTAGTGTTACTGAATTAATATTACTAATATTAATTACTGTATTGGTATTAAGAACTTGACTGGATCCTTTTTATTTCATCCTCCTCTTTTCCATGGTGACTAACCAGAAGCAATACCATAGGGTCTTAAAGAGTTCCCTTCCCCTCATTTTTCATCAACCTGGAACTGCAAAATGGACTGAATATACAGACTCCATTCCACATTACAACATGATTAACCATAAGAACCATCCTACAGGATCACACTGAATGTCACAATTCAAACACAATGAAATAATCCATTTCAGTATTCAGGGATTTAACCGTGTTACATTTACTTGTTTGGTGGACTAAGAAAACACCATTCCAGGCTGCTTCTACTAATTGAAACAAGAGCAGCACAACGAAATATTACATGAATGAGTGCATTACTTTCCAAAGATGTATAACTGGGGAATCCCATTCAGAAATGGAGCTTCTGGATTAGCAGTGGGCTATTCCAAACCCTTCCAGTGTATAATTTGGAAATAATTGCCATTCTTAATAGCTATTCTATTCCTTACACTTTTTCTGGGATCAAGGTCACATTTCAGCACCAATAAACTACGATGTTTTGTTTGCCGGAGACCCCCAAGGAACAGGGTTCGAAAGAGAAGGGGAAATGCAACACAGAGTAGTAGGCTGCCTTTGGGCATGGAAGTGCCACTGGTCAGCTCCAAAGGCTGACCAACACGAGCATTTCCACCTCTTCCCTATGAAACAGCGCCGTCTTCCCCCTCTGCCGCTACAAGGCTTATTTCATATCTTACCAGCTCAGGAGGCCCGCGATGCTCAGGCCTCTTTCCGCAGGCAGCCATGCTGCCTACCTTCGTACGTCACTCTTACGCGACACAGACTCCGTTAGAACCACAGAGCTACGGAAATTAATCTCCAAACTCTCGTTAGAGACACCCGACTTTTAATTTAACGCGTTTCTAGTCCTCAGGACGTAATTACAGCTGTCGTACATCTCAGAGTCAGGTAGAGTCGGTGTAAAGCTAACGAATAAAATAGGGAATTAAAAGCTCACGATTTAACTTCCCTAATCGCAGCGCCTTCCTCAATATATACATACATCTACTTGCCAAAGCGACGCGCATGCGTCTCCAGTGGCTCGCGGAGGTGGTGTCCAAACTCAGACGGGGGCGCGCACGCAACGGAAGAGACACCAATACTACCAGCCGCGACTTGCGGCGTGCGCGCTCCGCTTGGGCTCGGCCCCGCCTCCGCTGAGGTGGCTGAAGGGGAGCCGGCGGACGAGGCGGCCGCCGCTGCCGGAGGATGGGGGAGGCGGTCGTGTCCGCGACGCTGGTGGGCCTCTCGCTGGTCCTCGGCGCCGTCGTTTTGTGGGGGCTGCTGTTGTTTCTGACGCGGTGGACGAAGGCCGCGCCGAGCAAGGACGACGTGGCCAAACTGAGCGGGGCGCCTGAGGGTAAGCGAGGACGAAGCGCTGAAGCCGCGCCGCCAGCTTTCTGCGGGACGGGGTTTGAGGCCACGTTTCCATCTTGCGCAAGAAATGAGCCGCGGCAGCTCCCGGTTTAAAAATTTCTCTGTAACGCGCTGCGCTTTATACTTTTCCGTGATCGTTGTCCCAAAGGTGCTGTTTTTTCAGGAAGCAACTGAACCTTCTTGTTTTTTCTTTTGAAGACGTTTCGCTTCTTATCCAAGAAGCTTCCTTAGCTCTGACGGGATGGTGGGGAATGGAAGGATTTATATTCCTTGCAGACAGCATGTCATTTGCATCCTTTTAGATTGCTGTAGTCTGCCATTTTTCCTGTAATTTCCAGAGAAAAATGGCAGACTACAGGAACCAGGAGCACTACTCAGGTGATCCTGAGGACACAGATAAACCTCCAAGGGCTTCAATGAACCCTCTAAAAGGATGCAAATGTCCAGCTGTATGCAAGGAATATAAATCCTTCCATCCCCCACTAACCTGTTAGAGCTGAGGAAGCTTCTTGGACGAGAAGCGAAACTTCTTCAAAAGAAAAAACAAAGTCCAGTTGCCTCCTGAAAAAGCGCCTTTGGGACAAGCGTGACCTGGATGACTGAGAAGCTCTACAGATTTCCATTATCGTTGTTAGCATGGCCTTGTGACTGGGTCACCGAAGCATTTCTGACTGACTAGCAAAGGCCTCGTTGGATCAGTGTAATAATTGGAAGAATCCGTCTGTGAGTGGGAAACTTGGTTTCAAATCTTAAAATTGGAGGTGCGTTCAGCAGAAGCCCTGGAGCTGTCACTTTTGCCACAGAGAAAGCAGGAATTGGTCTTGGCAGAAAGGCAAAAAAATGCACCCTGTGAAATATTGCCTCCGATGGCTTGGAATGTATACGGGGCTCACTTCATGTCGCTGTGCCTATGGCATCACATTGAGGAAATTTTAGATTGCTTTTAAGGGTCTTGGACAAGGAAGGGTCATCATAGGGTCAAGCAAGCTGGTGTGGGCTTTCTGGACTTCCCAGCAAAGTTGTTTTTTTCTAGACCTATAGGTTGGGAATTAAATCTGGAATGTCATTAATAGAAAACCCACGTTCAGCAAAAAGCTACAGTCTCAGTACAGGTAGTCCTTGACTTATAACAGTTTGTTTAGTGACTATGTATAATGGCACTGAAAAAAGTGACTTATGACCATTGTTCACACTTATGACATTTGCAGCATTACCAAATGTCAAGCCTGAAATTGACACGTTAGCCATTTTATTTAGCTCTATATTCTAATCATATATTCCTTTTCTTTCTTTTTCTTTGTTGGTAATGGGGGGAGGGTTTGGGGCTCACCACATTCCTAAGGTGGGAGGAGTGGTTAGGTAGTGAAGATTGTTTTGGCTAGGTGATTTTTCCTTCCTGTAGGAACAGAAGTCCCTGCCTAGACCCTGGAGGTGGAGATTGATGACACCAGGCAACGTTGATTTACTGCTATTGGGGAATGGGACTTTTGGAGGCTGTTTCTACTTTCCAATATTATGTGGTATAATTCCGGTTTATGTCAGATCCGGAATTACAACAGACTTTGCCAATTTGATGCTTTCCTAAATAAAAGAAATTTGTTTTGGAAGATGGGCTTTACTCACTTTTTTAATGGATTTCATCACTTGGAAACCTGACACTAAAATCACATGATCAAAATTCAGACACTTGGCAACTGATATTTATGAGGGGCAATATCCCGGGGTCATATGATCACCTTTTGAGAATTTCTGACAAGCAAAGACAATGGGGAAGCCAGATTCATGTAACAATCATGTTCCTAATTTAACAATTGCAGTGATTGATTTAACAACTATGGTAATAACAGTTGTAAATTGGGACAAAACTCAGTTGACAAATGTTGCACTTAGCAACAGAAATGTTAGACTCAATTGTGATCATAAATTGAGGACTATTTATTTCTCAACCGTGTCAACTTTAAGATGACTGGAATTCTATCCTCCGTGGCCTTCATAACAAATGCTTAACTAGAGCAATCTCACAGTTGCTTTTCCCAATATACTAAGCTAGCAATAAATGTGTTTTTCTTTTCTTCTTGTGGCTTAATATGTTGTGCAAATCCAACTTGTTTGGTTAATTTATAGTTGAAGTGTGTTGCAAATTGGTGGGTAATTTAGTCACCAAATTAAGAGACAGCAGAAATGCAGCCATTGAGTTTTGATAATAAAATGGGAGAAGAATGAACACTCTGTGCCATTTTGAGCTCATTGGAAGATAGCTAGAAAAAAATCTTAAATGACAAAACACTATTTTTAAATGCACTGCTGTGGTGGAATGTAGTCAGGAGTCACAGGAGGGAGGGGCTGCCACCCAGAGGGTATCGAGGAGGGGAGTTGGAATGTTTGGTAGGCAGGAAGAAGGCTAAGATAGCCCCTTCTCAGCAGTTCACAGAATACAGGTAGCCGTCGACTTAACAACACTTCATTTAGTGACCAAAGTTACAATGGCACTGAAAAAAGAGACTTTTAACCTTTTTTCACACTTGTGACTGTTGCAGCATCCCCATGGTCATATGATCAAAATTTGGATGCTTGGCAACTGATCCATATTTATGACAGCTGCAGTGCCCCGGGGTCATATGAAAAGCTTTTGTGACATTCTGACAAGCAAAGTCAATGGGGAAGCCACATTCGCTTAACAACCCAGTTACTAACTTAGCTGCAATGATTCACTTAACAACTATGGCAAGAAAGATTACAAAATAGGACAAAACACTTAACAAATGTCTCATTTAGCAACATAAATTTTGGGCTTAATTGTGGTTGTAAGTTGAGGAATACCTGTATATAGTTGTGTCTGGCAAGATTTTGTGTACAGGCAAACAATAAACAGGATTAGCTCCATATGTCTGACAACTACAACGACAAGAGTATTTATGGCATCATAAGAATAATGAAGCAAAGGATGATCCCTGAAACTTTATGTTTTATATATTAAAAAGTATTTTAAGATACTACAAGACTGTACAAAAGGTTAACATAAATTTTTTACTGAAGGTGATTATTTAGAGGTCTTCATATCATATTTCCCTCATTCCTTTCTTAGCCTTTATGCTCCAAAGACATGTGAATCTTTATGTAATGGATATTTTTATGTCTTAAACTAATAAACATTAACGGATACAGAAATAACTTCATTTTAAAACCTTGGCTTTTAGATTAAAAAGCATTCTGCTGCAGGCTACTTATACTTGTTTTTTGTTGTGCTGATAGGATGATTGAAAAAAACCCTATTAGTGATTCAAACAATTGTTAAAACCAATTGGCCCTTCATTTGTTAAAAGCTTTTCTTCAACTGAATTCCTCAGATCAAAATGTGAATGGTGATGCAGCCAGCAAAACAGGCCTGAAAAAGCCAAAACAGCAGCGAATTAGAAAAGAGAAGCCCCAACAGCATACTTTTACACACCCACTTCTGGCTTCAGCCCTCAAGGTGAGCTCTGGTGGGTAACTTATTCTTACATGCCACTATTTCACTTTTTTTTTTTTTTGAGCCAATCATATATATGTCTGCCACCTGGCCTACTTTTATTCTTGGTAGTAGCAATGATTAAAAATGCAGTAATAATTGGAAGTTTAAAGGTGAAGTTAGAAAAATAACTGAACACTTCTGCCATCTCTTGTTTCCGGAATCTTGGGAAGTCAGAGTTTGTAACTGTACTATTCAATGGTAACAGTGAACATTTCTGGAAAAATTCACCAGGTTGCTGTGAAAAAGGATCGAATTCATATTGTATAGCTTTCATTTTCTAGGACCTGCCTCCTCCATACCCCATACCATGGGGAGTGCTTTGAATGTAATTACTTTATCTGGTTTTTATTTTGAAATCCTGAGCTACTATGCAGAAATAAACAGCTTTGTGATATGAAAAAGCAGGGTCCATCCTGCCACAGTTTTACCATTATATCTTCCTGTTCATTGATGAACTTAAAAGCATTTTGCTTTAGTTTATTTTATCTACTTGTCCAAGGAGATAAGTGGGAATCCAGCTGTTTACTGGATGATCCATAGCAATGGTTTTGTTAACAGATAGATAGCAGAAGAAAGCAAATAGTTTTGAGACTAGAACACCCTAAATTTTCTTTTCCAATTTCACTAAGTATATCCTGATTCCAAAACAATTTGATTACTATTTCAAAGTTGAATTAGCTTGTTCTGAGGTTGTTTATGGTAAAATTGGAAAAGATGTTAAAGGTCATGAGGTTTCTGTTTCCTTGAAAGTATACTTTCTTTCTTATATCCACAATTTCCAAACAAATCTTTTATTTTAAACTGCTTCTTGCTCCTTAGATAACAGATCTCCAGTATAAAAGATACCTAGATTTATTCATAAGCCAAAAGATTTTTTTTTCTGCAGGGCCACAGTGGAAATGTCACCTGCCTGGACTTCAGCAATAATGGAAAGTATTTGGCATCCTGTTCTGACGACCGCACGGTGCGTATCTGGAGTACCAAAGACATTTTGGAGAGGGAGCATCGCTACATGCGGGTTAATGTGGAACTGGATCACGCTACCCTGGTCCGCTTCTTCCCGGACTCCAGGTAGGATGGAGATTTGGATAATATCCTTT